GTAATTAGCCTCTTAAAACATGATTAACATGTCTCAATTAAGCCAGTCAACATTTGCATAATATATTAGCTGTCCTAATTGCAAGTGAGTTTATATCAGAGGACAGGAAACAGCAAAAATACTTGCTGTTGCCCCTGAAGTGAATATGTAGTGAGCATAAATATGAATATAGAGGAAATGCCAGTGAATAAAAGGGAGTCCGGTCTATTTACACATGTCATAACTCACTTCAAAAGCAAAGATAAACTGACAGTCAGCACATCCCCTCTCCGACTATACTTATAAAAATATACTACATGTTTATTATTATTCACTTAGACGAACATTTCTGGTAAGTAGAGGAAGAGTTTTCCGATAAATGCATAAATCAAAGCCAGGCAATATTTTTCTCGGGAAAACTTCGCACACATTTTGAAGTTATTTATTTGAAGTTATTTATGAGAGAACAGGCAGAGTCCTGTTCAGCCTTATTTCCGTGGAAACTAAAACATAGGGGGATAAACTGCTGCTTCGGCACTTCCAAGCCGGGGACAGATATACAGTCTCCCAGCTAGCGCGGGGAAACCAAGGACATAGCCATTAGTTTCAGGACAGCGCCACATTGGAGACTAATGCCTCCATCTGTCACTGGAGATGAGAGGAGGGTAACAAAGAGAGGCAACACTAACCCCTGAACTCATCATGGACAGCCATGTCAATTAAATACTGAAAAACTGCAGGACTGGGAGCCATAGTGACCAGTTTATCCACGGCTGAATTGAGCCCAACCAGTACCTCTCCAAGTGTTTAACGCTAATGTTACAGAAAACGGTAATTTGACATTATCGCCGTGCACCTTTGGGCTTATTTCAGTCAAGCAAAGCAGATCTGACACCACTTATTTGATTAGTAATTAGTGAACAGTCAAAGTCAGGATCCATGATGCTCAATACTGCTATTTACTGCTATACTGATGTTACTGAATATGATCACTTATTCGTTTCACTCATTTATTTAAGCAAAATGCCAACTCTTGTTGGCTTCACCTACTGCATTAAGAAGCTTTGCTGTTTTTTATGGTAAATAATACATATTTTCAACAGCTGATCAAACAAAACAAAACATCTGGATATGCTGCCTTATCCCATCTGGATTTTGCAGTGATGGCATTGGACAAATATGTCATCTATTGGGGACTGACTAAGTCTACTGCTCAGTGTTACACGTTTTTTTTTTTTTCCAGTGCTCTGCTTCCTTAATTAAAAGCTTGGTAAACACAAGTTGGTGCGTTTTCCTGCACAGAGATGCTGATGGAGATTCTCATTGGTATGATTACCAAGCTAATGCTAAGTATGCTATCAGTTGCTACTCATCTCACCTGGTCATTTACAGGCTGCAGTGTGTCCTCGTTTTGCTGTTTTGTTTCAATCCATTAGACTGTTTTTTTAAGGTTAAAACAAAAACAATCCCATATAATCTGAATTACACATTGGCAGCCACCAGTTGTTGGGTTGTTAGAGACCATTTGGTCCAGCCGGTATTATTGGTTAAACTATCATATAGTTTCTAAGAACTCTAACTGACAACATATAGAACCAAAAATCAGCTTTTCTACAATGTAAAACATTATTTTCATAATAAAATTAGTAAACTTTAAAGTTTACCTCAAACTGCAGTAAGTTACAGATTTTCTCTTGCTTAATAAACTACTCTGAAAACAAAGTGTTATGCTACCAAAATGAGGTACAAATAATAACCCGACAGTAAGTCGCTGTGCACCCACCTTTACCTGACATATTTTACAAAAGCAGGTGCAACACATTTATATCGCAAGACAAAAATCAAGTCCTTACATCATTTTGTAAAACGTTTATAAATTCACCAGATAACAGGACTTGAACCCTTTTTTATTTATTACTCATCCCCAAAGTAACTATCCTTTGCTCATACTGAGGCTCATTAGCTTTAACCACTTTACCTTTGTTAGCTTCTTTAAAATAACCATGTTCAGGGGGGATTTAAGTGTCTGATTAAAGTTTGTTCTCACTAAAGTTTTTCTGATTGTCCCCCCAAAGTGCACACACCACTTTTTGCCTGTGCCACTGTGCCCAAGTTTTACATGCAACGAATCAGGTCTGGACTGAGAACACTGAAAATCTGTGCCTGGCTGCTTGATCTGTGCATCTCTACTATCAAAGAGTACTCTTGAGCCATCAAAACAAAAGCCGCCTTCTTGACACTGAAAGAACAACATTTGCTCAAGAGTTCATGACACCTCCAAAGTGACCAGATCAACACCACTGTGAATATCTAAATTGTGTGTACACGTCCAATTAGCGGCACATGCATGGGGAGGAGGGGGGGTTGAGAGCGGAGGGTGGCACTTAGCGGGATGGACTGATTCAGCAGGTCTCCAGCTTTGATAAGTTCAAGCGGTGTAATGCATTATCCGTCTGATCACATTAGTCATGCAGGAGCTCGCCATCTGACCCGAGCCTGCATGGGAGTAATGTGAGGCTGCTGACAAGAGTGGCCTGACGAAACGGTCGCAGGCCCACAGATAGACAGAGAGTGAGAGAGGGAGAGCGTAGGCCTGAAATCTGACACCCAGAAACACTGACTTGGTGGCTGGCTTCTCTTACTTAGTCAACCTGTACGTGCCAGCTTGTCTCGCCGTAATGGTTCCACACAAACAAAGACGCTCTCCGGTTCTCTTCACAGGATGTGAAGCAAGCACAGGAAAACAAATTCTAAGTGCTCTCAGGAACTGCAGAAACAATGATGATAGTTTAAAAAAAGAAAAAAGTCGAGAGGGGCCAGAAGACGGGCCAAACAACCCCAGTGTCGAAAGGTACGACTGTAAGTCGTAACACAAATCTCTGTCGCTGCTTTTCCATCGGCCAGCGTGTGAACCTGAGCTTGTTTAAGCTTGCTAAATACTCTAAATCTGTGACACAGGAACGACCCCTGCGCAAATAAACAGGGTGTGGGGGTGTGTGAGGTCATCAGTTAAGGCCTGCTATTGGCATGTGCTCCTGCCTTGTTTGTCAGCTGCTTGCCAATGGACACCTCACTGCTCTAATGTCCCATATTGCTGCTGTCAACGCTCGCACCACAAAGAAGAGGCGCGTACAAGACACACACACACACAGACACGTGAACATGCAGCACCTATAGATGACGTAAAGAAGAAGGAGAAAAAACACTTCCTCTCTTCAGTTAAAGGTCGAGGAGAAAGCGTTGCTTCAAATCTGCCCTGCTGTACTCATCGCCCCCTGCTCGCTCTTCTTCTCGCAGACACTCTCACTGCAACAGTGTAAAAAGCAGGGAGAAGCTGACTCTTTATAAAGAATATAAAAAAGGCTGACAAATTACAGGCTGTACTCCGCTCGCATACACTGCACTCAGCACATTTGGCTGTAAATGCCATGGTGAAGGTTTGAGTCATTTTCTCTGTCACTGCAGTGAAAGGATTTTCAGTTTCGTCTGCACAAACCTCCTATGGGCGAAGATGAGCCGCGGCTCAGCTCTTCAAACGCAGACAGGGAGGACACAGAGAGGCAGCCATTCACTCTTGATTCCCTCACAAATTGCTTGGGTTATTCTTAACTTTTTATACGTCGTTCTGTCGCCATCAAAACAATGTAGCTATTTAGAGCTCGCTGATTTGTGGTTTGGGAGAAATGTTCCCCAGCCACATTTTAAGTAAAAATAACTGATCCGATGCATTAAAAAAAAGAGAGCGAGAGAGAGAAAATGTAATCCACATTGAATTGAATTATGTTCCTTTTCCAAACTTGGTGCTAAGCGGAGGGGAGGGCAATTTGCAGTCTGGGGGGAGCCTCTCTCGTCAGAAGCCCTGTGAAATCCTGGTTGCCAAGAACGGTGGGAAGAGAGGAGAGGCAGGGGGGAAAAGCCAGGAAAAGGTCCAAGTCACTTTGTTCTTCTTTTTGGAAACGAACTCTGGTTGAACCCGGGGAGACGCCAGACAGTTTACAAAGAGCCAGGCATTACTCTCTCACTTTTCCAAGCCTTGCAATTTAGAAGCAGGGCCCCAGCCTGCTATAGCTTCTTCCTCATGGGCTTCACGTTTTAAATGTGACGAAAATCAAGTGTCTACACGTTCTCCCTTCATTTTCTTTTTTTTTTTTTTTTGGAGGGGGGGGGGCTGTGCCAAACTCTGACTCATAAGAGTGAAGCTTCAGTGAACAACAGTTCATGTTAAATTAATGAAAACGGCATTGCCTCCATACAGCACAAGCCCCGTGTTTATTCTCAGCTGTCTGCATGGCTGCGACGCGACAACCGAGCAGCCAAAGTGACAAGGCTCTCTCAATAATCTCAGACAGCTTCAAAGTTGTGTTCACAGATAAGGTTATATTGGATCTTTTGTTTTATTTCCTCCCCTTCAAAAGCAGCGCTCTGCCACATCCCTCAGAGAATAGTCACAGGCTTTCATCATGTGAGGAGCTCTCCTTTTAATCTGCTGTTAAGAGAGTAATAATTCACACATTCTTTTTCATGACTTTGACCCAGGCTGCGAACATAAACAGAAAATCCCCCTGACCTGTCTCTGCATGCAAAACAGCTCACTTCAGCAAACACCATCAAACTCGGCCAAGGAAAACAGAGAAGAGAGGAGCGAGAAAGAAAGAAAGAAAGAAAGAAAGAAAGAAAGAAAGAAAGAAAGAAAGAAAGAAAGAAAGAAAGAAAGAAAGAAAGAAAGAAAGAAAGAAAGAAAGAAAGAAAGAAAGAAAGAAAGAAAGAAAGAAAGAAAGAAAGATGGTCCCAAAGAGGCCCAAATGTCCAATGACAGCGAGCTATCCAGTGTCAGTGAGGTTTGTGAAAGAAAACATGATGTAAATACATATTTACTGGTTTGGGAGAGTCAAGTCTAGATAACCGTGACCTCTGCTTTTCTTTAAAAATGCTTCAACGATCAAAAGAAGACACCAAAAAAAGAGAGAAAAGAAAACAAGTGATGCTGACACACAAGGAACTGGCCATAAAAGTGACCTTACCTGTTTTCTCCTTTATTTCACATAAGACGTTGAAGAGAGCCGGTTTCATTCTGTGGCAGTTGAGTGCATGTTTTCTAAAAAAACAAACAAAAAAACAAAAACAAAGGAGGGATGGGGGGACAGGACACCACTTTCCAAATCAGTATTCAAACAAGTGGCAACACAACTGAACTTGCTGAAATCCCCGAAAGGTTACATTTTCCCAACATATCTCAGCTGATTGCACTTCAAAGCATGCAAATATATAAAACTTACAGGAGCCAAAGCATGGGAAAAAATATATTTGTTAAAAAAAATCAATCCATACTTTGTGGGTATAATTCTTTTGAAAATAATTTAAATGCACAATGCATGACTTCAAATCTTTGGAAAACACAGATTTATCCTATGCAGCATCCAATAAAATTCACTCAGGTACTACAACTTGCCTCAAATGTTTGCTATATGTACATTTTATTGCTAGTGCAGGCTATAGAAAGGGATCTGCAACATGTTATTACAGCATAGGATTACAATGTAAGCTCCTTTGTAACAAGGCAGAAGACTCTCACTTTGACTGAGGTGCCTCAGTGCTCCACAGCTAAAACACACCCCCGTGTCAATCTCATATAGCCACGCAATCATTTATAGTTTCGATATATTACCTTAAAAAAATGACAGAAAAGTTTTTGCAAAGAATTTACCACGAATCGTGACAAGTTTTTAGGGTCTTTCTTTCGCTTTCGCGCAGTCACGGCACTTCGGTGGGCGTAATTGCTTTCATTTAGAGGCAGTCTTGATCCGAACCACAATGTTATGATCTCCCCCCCCCCCCCCCCCCCCCCCCCCCCCCCCCCCCCCCACCCCCTCTCCATCCCAAATATTTCCATTTTCACGTGAATAAATAAAGTGTTTTGTGAAGCCTCACCTCGCCTGTGCTTCGTCTAAGCTTTGGTCTGTGATGGTCATTATTTGCTGTAATATATCTCCGATGTCCTGCTTTCTTCCCTCTCCGTCCGTCCCTGCCGTGCCATCCTGCATATGCTGCGCCAGGCCGGGGTGTCCGGCCATGCCTACCCCGTGGGAGTGCATCAGCCGAGGCTGCTCGTCCATCCTTGACCACGGTCCCTGCTGCCTCCACTCCAACTTTTAAAATTTTAATATCAAAGAGGGGAAGAGAGGAAAAAAGAAAGAAGAGAAAATATCCTCGGAAATTCCTCTGGATTCCTCGGTGTCTCTCTCCCAGCCCACTCCTCCTTTTTCCTTGGTAAGCTTTTCTGGATTTGGGAGGAGGGAGACTGACAAACCCTCTCTCTCGCTTTCTCTCGGTCTCTCTCCCAGCTGGTTTAGGTGAAATCTGATCTGAATCGCTGCTTTAGGCTTTGGCCACTCCTGCACCGCTACTGTAGGGAAGGAAAAAAAACAGGATTGAACATTAAAGGCTCCTAATGTGATTAAAAGTGGAGAGCGTTGTGCTCCTCTTATGAAACCTCCGATATACTCAAGAGCTTGATGCGCCAAAACGCGCTAAAGACTCAACTTGCCTTTGAAGGTTTTGGATACAAAGTACCACCAACTGTTATTGTTTCGCTTATGTCTGGTAACTGACTCATAATCAGAGTGTGGATGAAAAGCCTCCGCCCCTCGAGCCACGATTGGAGAAGAAGAAGCGCGCAAGTCCCACCTCGGTCCTCTCCGAAAACGTCAATCATCTTCCTCGGGAAGGTGGGACACTGTAATAAACATAAAGAGATGTGACCGGACCGGGTGGCAATACAGTGATGGATCGAGGGTGCATATGTAGCCTAATAAATAATTGTGAGTGGCAGTGGAGCTCTGACCCAACAGGACAGCATGGTGGTGCTCGGAAAAGACACTCTGTCATCCGGACTATATATTTTCCTGCTGAATATTTACACCCGTGTAATCAGTCAAAGGAACAATAAATCAAGATGAATTTATTAGAGCATAGAGCAGTTTGTGGAAAGCGTTTTACAAGTCTTGAGTTGGAATATTGGACCACAAGAGTCGTAACAGAAAGCGGTCTAACTAGCAGCCTTCCTCCTTTGGAATCCAACACAACAGCCTACTTGTGAGAGCAATAAGAGCTAATGCTATTTAATAATATAATATATAATAAAGATTACTCCAACCATCAGTTACCCAGTAACAGAAAATAAATCTCATAAAATATCTGGATAATTGATTAAAAAGAAATGTGATCATTTTTCCTATCAGTTTACAGCTGTTGGGGAGTAATACTGCTGGCCAAAATAATTATTTTTTATAATCTAAAACCGCCTCAGTTTATTGAGATGGACTTTTAGGCTTTTGCTATGTAGGCAGTTCAGTATTTCTCACCCTTTCCTGTGTTGGTCAGTGGTATCCTTCATTCCTACTGGTAGCTGCTTCACCCACCTGCTGTTATGACTAGTTTAACTTGGTACCTGCGCACTTCATATTGCTAAAGGTTATTTTGTTAGTCCAGAACGTAGGCTGCTACCGAATGAACTAGCCCAGCTTTCTGTCATTGGATTTCCATTTTAAATCCAATTAAAAATTGCATTAATTAAAAATAAAGCCCTGCATGGGGAGCTCCCTGCTGAGTCGTTATTCCAGCAGTTGAAGTCTCTTATCATCTGATCAGGGTCCATCTGTGTTGCACACACAGTCCAGAGGATGTAGCATCCAAACAGCCCGTCAGGACACTGAATCTGTAGTTTGTTTTAAACAGCTGCCAAAAACTCAGTTTAATACCTTAGCTTTCTCAAAACCTCAAAAGTTCACACAAAATGTGTGCATGTCGGTCGTGTATCAACAAATGCCCTTATATCTGACCGTGTTTGTACGTTGGGTGTTTGGATGTGTCTTCATCCAAACACCTTGTGTTTTGAAAAATGCGAGGGCTTGTTGAATAAAATGTCAAAATTGTGGAATAAAATGTTTTACACGTGGGAAAAAATACAAATATGTAGTCTAATACTTACACAAATACACTGAGAGCTGAAAACCTATAATTTTACTCCTATTTATTTATTTACTGTTTACAACCACAACTCAGCCACTCAAACGTGCCCCCTCAAGTCACAAATTCACAAATTTGCACACTTTGACTTTTGCAGCACTTCTTGTGGTAAATGTGTTGCAAAACTATTACTATTATTTTGCCTGTCATCTTTATGAGTTACTAAACTTAACTGACATTCCTGGTCTCAGGTGGAAAATTACTGATAGTTTGTTATTTATTATTATTTTTATTTAGCAATTAAAGAAGAGGGCTTAAAAAAATCACTATGAAGTTGACACAGCAAATGAAACTATCAATATAAAATTTTTTTGTACCTTTCTTTAAATGTGTTTATTTTTCTTCCAGCTCAACTTTGCCATTTGAAGCCTGTGTGGATAGATTCACCTTTGAAGTGAGCCTCAAGTGGTCATTTGGTGAACTGCACTTTTTTTGGCACCAACGCATTGGCTTCATTTTGTTTTTAGCGGCATCACACACGAAACCTCGCAAACTTTAAGACGAATACCTGCTGCTGAGAGAACTTTGGCTCTTTGCAAGGCTACTGCATAGATAGCATGCTAACACTAAAGTAGTCAAGAACCGAGAGGGATTTTAAAGCTGAGTGTATGCCGACCCCAGCCCCGCAGCCAGAGCCTGAACTTCGACAGGTAACAAAAGCAGTCATGTTTGTAGCCTCCATTTCTATCCGAGCATGCTTCTAAAGTAGAATCAACTTGGCTTTTTCATCTTTGTCTTGTGTTGTCAGCTTTGTGTTCATACCTAAATGAGACATTATTTCAGGTCATTTTACGGAGTGACGAGAAAGTAATGCAATGAGTAGTGTAACAAATTACTGTGGTGAGTAATGTAATGTGTAATACATACTTTTCTTGAGTAACAAGCTCAACATTGGGAGCCGTAGGAATGAAGACGAGCAGATGCAATTAAAAAAGGGCACTGTATCTGCTTTGTCGTATTTACTTTTTGACTGTGACAGCTATTTTCTGACATGTCATAGACCCAATGATTCATCAAGAAATGAATCAGATGATTAATACATCATCAAAATAATTTAGTTGCTGCCTTGCAATAGTATTTCTCCCATTAACACCTGAAAAATCGAAATTGTAACGTGGATAAACTGCAGTTCTGTGCCTCGGAGTGTGGTCTGTTCTTCTTCTTTTTTTTTACTGGCCGGACAGAAATCGATCAGTCAGTTTTCTCATTACGTGCTGAATAGGGAGGTAGAGTAGTAATTGTCACAAGGGGCAGGGTGAGGTTGAGGGTAGTGGTGGTGATAATGTCTGACACTCAGGAGCTGCAAAGACTGCACAGCACAGCCTTGAAATGGAAGTCTCCAGTCCAGCAGCCATTCGGCTTTATTTTATTCCCTATTTAACTGTGTCATAACGTTGGAGGGGGCCTCATATTTATCTTGTAAATCTTCTGAAGGGAGATGGTGGTTCAGCTGCAATCGTGCATGCTTTAAAGTGAGAGAAAAAAAACATTTAGGAGTCAAGACAATTAATTTTCTTTTCCTTATATTTTTTACTCCATCATTCAGCTAATATAAAACCGCAGTGTCAGGTTGGTTCTTCAAATCCCAATCTGTGTCAACCCCCCACTCATCAGTCTCCTAAGTTCTGATTTACAAATCAAGGCAGCATTGATTAGCGTGAAATATGATCGAAAGAGCTCATTCTGTTCACTCTAAATTCAAATTTATTCCACTGTAAGCCAATAGACAAAAATGACCTTACTGCTCGGATGCCGTTAGGAAAGTAAACTCTGAATAGAATAAATAAGACCTCATTTGTGGCTCTGATTGCTGTATTGAGATAAAGCAGCATTTTCAGCCTTAATGAAAGAGAAGAAGAAGGGGGAAAAAAAATCGTCTGACACTGCATATTTTCCCTCCATTAAAACCAAATGTGTTGTTGCAGCATTAATATTCTCATAAAAAGTAGAGTTTGATTATAATTGCAGATGAATTTTGATGTAAAAATGTTCTTATAAACAGTCGATGTTTTCTGCAGAAGTTGCAGAGTTGTTTTTTGGAGACTAAAAATGCTAAGGAGTTCGATATTCCCAACAGAAATGTAAACTAGTTGAATTTGTTGGCGAAGCTGCTCTGATGAATGGAAGAAGACAGATCGTACCAAAGATTATAATGCATCCGGGACTGGAACTTAACTACGGCATGAACTATAAATAAAAATAAACAGTGGCGTAACATTTTAGAAACTCCCGTTACCTCTTGAAGCGTCCAAAACCCCCCACAAAACTTTATGCACTTTAAAAGCCTGATAATGTGTAATAAACCATGTATAACATGGGTAATTTAGTGGATTACACACTTCCAGATATATTCGCCTGGTTTACCAAACCAGGTGAACCAAATCACAATATTTCGAGCTTCATAACAAACCGATGCTGACTCCACAGCACATATTCTCTTATCTGGACCAGGGTCAAACAGCTCCTCCTGGAGAGAGAGCTGCGGGTCAGGGCAGGGTAAGTTATGTATGAGGTAGGAACACAGCGCGGGAAAGCAGCAACTGCATGGCACAGGAAGTAACCTTGATGAAAAATTCAGTTGTTTGCTGCTCCTGGCGTCCCTCAGGCATGAATAAAGTGAGGCCCAGACAGAGAGAAAAGACCTGGGCTCAGCTTGAAACTACTCACCGACCCACTGCTGAGGAGCACACACACACACTCGGCTAGCATTAGGAGATGGGCACGAATTAAACTTTAATCACGCCTCAAATAGATTAAGCGACAGGAGCCGAGTCAGCATTTCCAAGCCCCTGCTCTGCTTCAGTTGACCATCCTCCTCTGAACTCCTACTAAATTAAATACCCACCCGTTCCAGTTTCTTTGCACCTCAGATTAACGATTAAGGAAATTAAATACTTAAACCAGGAGTCGACAACAAAAGCTGCGCATGGTTAATGTAATATTATACATAAATCCTCTGAATGAACAGCTTCTGTTTCTTGGATTTCGACTGCAGACGAAGAAGAAGAAAAAAAAAACTAGATGCGTAAGGATGGAGATGCTTTTGAACCCTGCAGCAATCTCTTGCATCTTTGAGTCAGTGATCATTTTTACTGTGGAAAAAGCCGGATGTGTTTTTGTGCAGCCGAGGCTGGGTCAGGGTGAAGAATGACTGATATGAAGGGGTTGACCTGTCACACAGCATTTGACTTACTATCCTTGGAACAGGATAAAAGGGGAGCCAAATGTCAAGTGATACAAGTGACGCATCCTCAAACGCACATATCCGCACACAGAGAGGGATTTGGAGATGAATGGTTTATAATAAAAAAGCCCCAAAACCCACCAGCGATTCTGTGGATGGCATGTAAAAACAGTAAGATGATCATTTTCATGAAAATAATAGTCACCGGTGGCACTCGCAGTGCATGTCAGCCACAGGATTTCCATGCCCTTTTTTTCCCCTGAGTGTGTCTGTTCTTGCTGTAGGGCCCCTGTAAGCCCTTAGACCTCTTGGCAAAGCGTGGGTTGTGCCTGGTGGGGGGAGATGTGACGGATGCCGGAGCCTCGGAGCCCGCTAGCTACTCTGTGAATTTTCCCAGACTCATTTGCATTCATAAAGAGCCTATTCCTTGTCACAGAGTGTTTTCTTT